AACGGCTTTGCTGAATCTTAATTTGCAATTATCGTTTTCAACAATTCAGCCCGCAATAATTACACCCCATGCACATATAACACCACAAGTTGATGGTTATATAGCACATGTAAAATCTAGCAATATCAGGATTTCATTCATGCCATCATTTTTACGAAAATGTAGATGTTTTTTTCTTTAAATATGTTGTGAAATTCCAGAATGCTTTTATGATGCTAATTAGATGTTTTTGTTGGATTTATATTGAGTCTAAGCACTAATTTAAAGACACCACGGGCTGTTTTCATAGCACATTACCATAAGAGACTTAATCTTAAGCTGACTGAAAAGTGTAACAAAGTTACAGCTGAAACACTTTGCCGTAAAGTCTGTGCCACGGCTTAAGTCGGCACTGTGAGGTCAGCTGATTGTGATGTCATACTAAGCAGTTAAACACAATGTGGATTCTTCGTACAAAGTAGGGGATATCTCTTTAAAGGACCTGCTGAACACCTGCGTTTGTGCCATGTGGCTCTGCCCACTGAAGCCATCTTAAACCACGTGACTGGCAGAGTGCTGGAGAGATTGAGAAACTCATCCTTGAGATGCCTTTCCGTGATTCGCTCCTTCGTTAAACCCATGCCCGCATATTTTAAACACCGTCGGATGAAAAAAGTTTCTGTACAGTTCTGGACGTCTGATTTTTTCCAAAAAATTGCCTGATTTTTCACTTTATTTTGTAAGTTTGAAAGATACTGCTGACAAACACATTGTTCACTGGTATTTTGGACAGTGCATTTAATTATGTTCTCACTCCACTGGCATCCCATCCAGGATGTCCCCTACCTTGTCCCTTCTGCTGCCTGGGACGGGCTCCAGACCCACCGTCACTCTCTGCTGGGTACCTGCTTATGTAAGATGGATGGATGTCCTTCCCCGCAGTATCCTTACCATAACCTGTACTTTGAATGTAACGTATTTTTGTTTTCGGCAGCCCATTATCTTCACCTACCGTGTTCTTCGTTTTGGTTACTAACACTGATTTCCTAAGGAGTCTCAAAACAAAAGAAAATAAAGGAAGCCTTTGAAGAAAAAAGGCATACAAAGACAAAATAATAATAATAAAAATATTATATGACTGAAATGAACCTTTTGGGTTTCAGTCTGTCAGGGATTGATTGTGAGCAGCATGAACTTCAAACGGTTGCCATATTCAGTCCAGTCAAAAAATAGCTCAGAACTGATGCCAGTCATGGAAGTAGCTGCAGATTTAGTATTTCAGCTGTAATAATAAGGGGGGGAATGAAATGCATTCATTGTTAAAATATAGTGGCCCAGTTTGAGTCCTGGACAGATCGCGCTAAATGAAGGGTTTCCATCCATCGTGGAAACATCTCGACGCCCGTTTTCAGGTGATGAGGTGAAATTGCATTCACCGTGCCAGAGTGACCTTACTAAAACGCGTTGTTATTCTTAAGCAGAAAGATCTTTCCTTTACATCCAGAACTGCACTATTACACCAGCTGACATCACTTCAGTGGAATGATGTATAATCTGACATTTATTTAAGCCTAAGTATTACAGACATTTATGCACGGCCATATTTTGAGCAGTCGGCATTAAGAGTCTGAGGGAACGGCGTGACTGACAGATTAAACGGCACTTATCGGCTTGTTACCAAGCGGGAACGGGGCGAATCAGGCCCAAGCAGATTTAGGAGAGTTTGCTAATGCATTTACACCTCGTAAGACCTTCTCTGGACTGCAGGGGGATCCTTGCACAGCTCTGTGTTTAGAAGGTGACGCAGAGAGCAGACATGGCTGCCCTCTTTAGCTTAGCACCGAGGGAGAACGTCAACTCTATGCAATGGGGTTTCATAAGCGATTTCACTGGATTTGGTTGGATTTGAGAGACTTTCAGTGGAAAAAAAATGTGTTATGTTTCTAATAGGATAAGTAAAGGACCTTAGAATGAAAAACTGTAAATTTAGGTATTCTGCAGTATACACGCACACACACATATTTGACCTATTCCTCACAGTAAAGACAGTGATATTTTCTTGGGAACAAAAGACCTCCAATTCTCACTAGGGGTATGGATAACTTTACATAATGCGGTTTCATAAGCTGTTACGGAGAGTCTGCGGGATTTGGGCTATTAAGTGAATTTAAAGGATAAAACGCCCAAACTGGGACTGTATTATATTACTAACAGGATCAAGGTTTTTTTTTCCTTCGAGCCAAACCATTAATATAATGCAACAGTCCATTGAAACATAAACTGCAAAAAAGCTCTTGATTCTGACATTGTCCCTTAATGAGATTTTTGGCTGAACAAATACTGAGGCACAGATATACCACAACAACCACAGATTTTTTCAAGTAAAGAACAACTGAATATTTACAACTGCCACTCATGAACTTAGTCGCCTTTGGACATGCCTTAAAGAAGTCATCTAAGAGAAGTTTGGAAAAAAGACTGCAATGGAGCCAAAGAAGTCAGGAGATCAGAGCTCTTTAAATCGGTTAAGATCTTGTAACATTGGTGGATGGTTCACTGCCGTGAAGAGGTGGAGTAAGTCAGCAGAATTTCCAGCTACGCCACCCTGGGACTTTCACCCAGGGATTGTAGCATAGTTTAGTTAGCATCCGCCTCCACCTTTTCCGTATCTGTAGAAACCCCCTATCTGGAGGTAATGTGATCTAGATAGTGCACCTCAGGTCTAAAAAAACACATTTCTCCAGTTTTGCCCTAAGCGCCTCTCTCTGCAGCAAGAACCATATCCAGTCTCTCCAGATGTTGAGTAACAGAGCTGGAAAAAAAATCACCACGTCATCCAGGTAAAGTAACAAGGATTGATGTTGTCGGTCCCCAAACAACTGCCGCATTAAGTGCTGGAAGGTACCTGGTGCATTGCAGAGATGAAATGGCATCCTATCCACTCAAACCGAATGGACTGCAGAAGGTGGTTTCTGCCTTATCTCCCTCTGTCACTGGGATCTGATTATACCTACTGGCTAAATCCTCTTTGCATGGGAGGGGAAAGGTATCTTTCTTGGCCTATCGCATTGGAGCCAGTAACGTGGCTCAGCAGTCCGGCAGGCGTTGGATTCCCGAGGACTGATGCAGTCAGGGCTAAACTGGTTATGATTCTCATCTGTCCTGCATTGTCTTGTGAGCTGTGCATTATGTGCCTGTGCTTATGCTATGTTCCTTTGCCCGTTCTTGCTCCCGTTCTTGCTCACGTTCTTGCCATCTTCCCTGAATTTATTTCCTTTTGGTATCTTGCTAGTTTAGTTCTGGTTACTTCTGTTTCCCAGATTGTGTTATTTTAGTGCCTTAGTTAGTTCAGTAGCTTTTGTTTTGACCCCTTGTTGTCCTTTTGGTTTCATTATTTACCCCAGTGTGTTCACTTTCTTTAATAAACCCCTTGTCTTGGAACCGCAAAGCGCATCATCGCCTTTTCCTGTCGGCGCTGTGCCTCGAGTCTGTGACAGGAAGGGAATAACTATGACTCCTCACACCCCCAGGCATTCCCTCCCTGTCCCACCTAAATGCCTCATCACAAACGTTGAGCAAGGCGGCAGTAGGCTGATGACATATCAACTGCTTTAATTCTCAACGAAGAGCGCTGTCAGAGACATACTCAACGAAACGATCACACAGAAGAACATTGGCATTGAAAATGCTTTGCAGTGAACGAGATTTAACCTGCACCATTAAGCTCATCAAGGTAAGGGAGAATCCCTGCAAAGTCTCCTGTAATGCATAGGAATCTGAGCAGCCATACAGTTCTTGCAATATGGAAAAAAATCCTACCTGGCTCTCTCCAATTTGCCTGCACACAGAACTTTATTGCCCACCTAACCTCCCCCTCTGAATGATCCAAAATGAAAAATGCCTGATCTTCCTTACACAGGTGATGAGGTCATCGTGCAGGTCCGCACTTCCTCAATACACTCCCCTACACTAATCCCAGCGTGGCCCCGAAAGACAGGGCATTTTTGCTCCCTTGGAATAAAAGCTAAACATTCAGGAGGAATGACACTGTTCTGGGCTAGAGTGCTAGTCTTCCCCAATGCTACACCATATGACCTTTTATAAGGTGACTAATCGGTGGTGTGCAGATTAGCATACCCAATCAGTCACCCTCACTCCACCACAATCTCTTAAAAGTATTACATGAAAAATTCTAGGAACGACAAAGACCAATATTACAACAGTATCTGAAACATCACGGAAGATGGAAATTAATCTGGAAAACTCGGATGGTTTTTCAGAGACAGCAAAATGACAAGTCTACTGCTAAATATGATGAAAACAATGGTTATAATCACCGGAACAGCAGGTGAATTTATTGTTGCCAGTGAAGATACAGAGGTTACTGACAGTTTTGTGTCCTTGGAACAATCATCAGTAATAAAACAGTCAATAAATAAATCGGAGACAGGTAGGTGATAGAACTGGGATAAAGGTCCTAGTCACTGGTCAAAAGCACTGATTTATTTCTGTCACTCTTCATATGATAGTTGAAGAGTACCAATGCTTTAGGACTTTGGTGTTGGCTAAGACTGCCATTAATTCTGTGGATCACATGAATTTTAACTTGAAGCACAAATCACAAGACTAATCATATTTTGGGCGTATTCTGGGAAGACCCTGTTCATTGGAGACTGTTCAATGCATGGAGACGCTGGAGGTGAAAGAGGAAGAGGGTGACTCACAACAAGAGAGACCATCACAACAATGAATATGCCACTGGGAACCTAACCAGATAGAAGACTAGACATTCTAGCCATTTATATGGTCTCCAAGAGTCAACATAGATTGGACAGAACCTGACATAACAATTAGCTTTCATTTTCCTTTGCCAGGCTATGACATAAATAGCACCAATTCCACAGGACTGTCTGTAATTGCTCATTAGTGCAATCTTAATCACTAATGCTAATTGCAGCTAAAAGTCAATGTGTTATCCACTTTGCAATGGTGACAGGTGTCTGGTCGTCGTTGCTATCCTCATCCTCATCACAATCATTACATTAACTAAAAGCAGACACCATAGTTTGAGGTTCTCTTTGGGGTTTGCTGGCCGTGGCCTGTGGGAGCTATTGCTACCAAGGACTTCCGACATCTTATAAATCACAGCCACCCTCAGCATGTAAAAGTTAATAACCGTTAATAATCCAAAGCCACTGAAAAGGCCTGGATTGGTTAATACGTTCCTTTAAAACTGATTGGTTGGGGAAAGAGGCAATTTTGCCTTAAATTCGGTATTGATTTTGAACAGCAGCTTGAAATTACATTTTATGCATTGTTGCACAAAAAACCTTTATGCGATTGTGTGTTCAAAGGTCTGTCATGTGACTGTGCAGTCAGGTGTTCTGGGTTTTAACCTTAGCTGATGAAAACAAGTGAGGACTGACGACGGAAACACTTGAAAGGTGCTGAGAGGCTTGATCTTGAAAGGCTTTGGGATGGCCATGAAGAATCGTACGCTGTTGACATTTCCATACTGCTGTTGTTTGAAAACTTCAAGGGAGATAAAGAAAAGAAAACATCAGTCAACAAGCTCTGGTTATATCTGAGGATCACATCTAATTTAAAGCATTATGTCTCACAGGTCAGTGAGCACAGATTCTTTAAACAAAGGCTGAGCACATTTAAGCATCACGCCATCATTTCCGTTACAGACAGGTGATCCCAGAGACAAGTGTGATGTTTTGCGGTACACTCAAAATAATATATGTTTAGAGCGAACATGTTAATAGTGTGAACAGAGAAGTATCTCTACTGAAGCCAGAATTCTTCTAGAAAATTATTTTAACACACAAGGATTACCAGCAACATATCAGGTGCAATATGCTACAGGGCAACACCTTAAATAATATCATTTCTGCTTTGGCAGGAAAGACAGACACAATCTGTTCAAGTGTAGGCATCCATAAGGGAACGTAGCATGCATTGGAACTACAAACACATAGTATTTTCTTGTTTTTGACCCATTCCAGCTGTTGGCCCTATTTCGTAAATCAAGGCCATCCTGCAAATGTTCCCGCTTGTTCGTTTAACGTGAATCGATAGTTTGTTTGACAGGCACTGGCTGTTCAAAGCATACGTTGGAGTAGCTGGACTTAGTACAGCGATTGTGATGGTTGTAATGGATATTGCAGTTATTCATTATTAACAAATATACTGGAGCTTGACCTTCAAACAAAACAAATACTTAGCACGCATCTGTCTCTCTGTCTGGAGTAACACGCAAAGGAAACACTCTGAATGGCAGCATCCGCTACAAATGCTTTCAATGCTTTTGATCTCATTGACGGCTATGTGAAAACACCTTGCATATGCTTCCCCTCATGCAGATTTGGCACCAGTTGATCAGAATAATCCGTGTTACAATCACAGGTTTTTGAAACGTCTTCACTTACCATCTGGAGGGCAGGCAGAATGTCAACAATGATGGTTGTGCAGTCTCTGCGTTGTGTATGATGTCAGTCTCTCTCGCTGCTGTCTAAGCCGTATTGATCCACCTGTGCGTTAAGATTGTGTCCATCAAACAAGCCTCCCAACATGGCATTCTAAATTGCTTCCGTTTTTCCATTTCTTATATCGTTATTGTTTTTCGGAACCTCAAAGATCAAGAGAGAGTGTTGACAGTTAACTTAGCTTATGGGGCTTAAGTTCAATCCCTGTTAATTAAATTACTACAGTCTTCAAACAATTCCAGATGCACTTCCGAGTACTGACCACTAGGTGGATAATCCATCCATTTTCCATTACCCCTTACTGTATGTTGTACTTGATTGCGGTGAGCTTGCACCCTATCCCCCCCAAAAGCACAGGCCATGAACCAGGGGACACCCCGGATGGGATGATCGTCAAGTTCAGGGCACTATTCCTACGCTTTGGAAACTCCAGTTAACCTAAAATGCAAACGCCACACAGAGGCTGAAATCAATCCCACAACCTACCGACTGCACCACCCTGAATGTGAATACGTTTCAAAAATATTGAAAATGACGGCTGTAGCTTTCTTCTCTCTCTCTCCAGTTAATATGGTAAAATCGTATAATAATAAACTTTTAATGAGTTTCAGAAGAGGTTCAGGTCAAAATTACCGCACAAGGCATGCCTGGATTGAGTAATGCCGTATTTCTTTGTCACCTCACAGGTAATTTCCCCAGAAAAGGTCACCATGGCAGCTGCACTGTGAAAATTATGTACTTAAAAATCACCTGGTTCCCCCCACCCCATCCTGCATGCTTTTTACATGCAGGTGCAGTTTAACTCGATCGTGCTGCCAGTGTGGAAAAAAAATGAAGAAAGAACAATTACAGACACCGGACAAATTCCTCCCTAAACCTAAAACTCTCAGACGGAAATGATTTCCCAGGATAAACTCGATTCTTGAAGCAGCAGGAACTGGAGAGAAAATCTGTCGACGATGAGAATCCCCCTGATCTGCACTGGATTAAGCTACCGGGGTGAATTTCCAAAATTATACTCATTTAAATATGAAAATGGGCCTTAATTGAATCAATAGGCATCATTCAACAAATAAGTCATTTTTACTGTAAGGTTATCTGGTAAAATGAAGGTAAAATGCTTACATGTGCAGATAGTAGAAGCGTGAAGAAAAACACGGTGACTTTAAGTTTGGGAATACAGGAAGCAGATTCTCTAAGGGGAAGTGGAACAAGGCGATAATCTGGACACCTATGAACACG